ACTTCTCTAACTACTACTTTGTATTGTGCCAACTTGTCAGCTATTAAGATTGCAAAAAATCCTGTATTTCATGAGCGCACCAAGCATATTGAAACTGATTATTGTGTTGTTCAACAAAAAATTTCAAAGGGTCTCATCCACTTGTTACTGATTTCTTCTTCATATCGACTTGCAGATTGTTTCACAAAAGTGCTTCCCTCTTCTCAGTTTCATAACCTTATTGTCAAGCTTGGTATACAGAATCTGTATACTTCAGTTTGAGGGGGAGCTATTAGAATATATAGTCAGGGATATAATTGTAATTATGTACAAAGTTAGTGTTAAATTTGTCATTTAGTTTTCTTGTATAAATACCCTATTGTTATTCATCAATAAAATCATTTTCTCATTTCCAGACACCCGGGCTCTTCTCTTCTCTCAGTTCAACAACTTCTTCTCTTCTTTTCAACCAGTAATTTCCGGTTTATATAGAGATTAAATGGTGATTATTATCAAAATCAACACTAATTACCCATTAACCGATTGTGGTCCTTGCCTCCTTCACCTTGGTTGTTAATTGAAGTCCTGAAATTTTTCTTCTCTTTCCACCAAGACCTTGTTCTCAAGGTCAAATTCTGGAAATTGACTTAAGTTAGGATGAATCTTCCCAAATTATCTCTTTCTGCTCCAGATTTTTCCACTGGATTATAACCTATTCTATCGGCTCCTTTCCTCTGTAAACTACCATTCATTGCAGCACATCGAGAGGTGCCACCTTCAGTTGACCATGCTGATTGATTCTCGACAGAGCTTCATAATGAATTTGACTCCATGGCATGTACTTCTTCAACAAGAACACATGGAATACAGGATGGATTTGTGATCCTTTCGGCAGCTGCAGTTTGTAGGCTACTGTACTCATATTCAGCAAGTTTGTATAGGGTCCCTAGAACCTAGGAGAGAGTTCGAGATTCTTTGCACTACTGACACTTGCCTGTATGGCTGTAGCTTCAGCAATACAAGCTTCTGTTTTTCAAACTCTTGCTCTGTTCTCTTTTTGTCAGCATACTGCTTCATGCGGTTTTGAGGTTTTCAACGACTTCCTTCTTTACAAGCCATTCGTCAGCTGTCTTTCCTACAAAAGTTCTTCCAATTAAGCCAAGAGTGTATTGATCCAAATTGTAGTAAAGAAATGAGGAGGGAGAAACTCATGGAATTCTTGAAAATAGGACATTCTCATACTGAAGTGACGGGTGGTACCATACCACCACTTTGACAAACTGTCATTTGGCTCATATGTGTGGTTTCTTGAGTGACATACACCTTGAAGACGACTCCACACAATGATCTTAACCTCTCAGTTTTAGTATTCATTTTTGGATGGTAAGTTGGGCTCAAATGCACCGTGGTTCCAGTGAGTTTCATTAGCTCCTGCTAGAAGAGGCAAGTGAAGATTTTATCACTGTCAGTTACAATGAACTAGAGTGCTCTGTGGAGTTCGTGTATTTTTTTGAAGAACATCGAGGCTACCTTAATAGCTATACAAGGATGTTTGAGAGCAATGAAGTGTTTATACTTGGTGAAACGATCAATAACTGCAAGGATGGTGTCTTTATTACTCAAATGATGCAATTGCTCAATAAAATCTGTAGACAATTGAGACCAAGTCCAGTGTGGAACTGGAGGTGGCATTAGCAAGCTTATAGTATGAACCTTCTTCAGCTATACACCTTTGACATATATCACGTCAGTTTACCGACTCAACTATCTTCTGTTTCATCTTAGGCCAAAAGGAACCCTGCTTTAATCTTTTATAAGTACCTCTTATTTCCTATTAGCCACCAATGGGTAGCGTCGTGGCAAGCATGCAATATCCTATTTCATTATCTGTCTGATCACTAATAAAAACCCATCACTTATAATGTATGATACAATTGGTCAGTAAGTAAGTTGGTTTAGAATTTGGGCTCACCACTAATTCTTCGAGCAATCGATCTGCGATGACATCATTTGGGTAACTATTGCTCACTTTCAATATCCATGCTGGTGTGCTTTGGGACACCTCTGTCTCAGATTTTGTTGTTGCTCCCAGCTTAAATTCTACAGTGTCTTGGACAATGCTGGCCAGGTCTATAGTCTGTTCTCCTTCATTTTTTCTTGAGAGAGCATCCACTACCTTGTTCTCTGTTCCTTTTTTATGTTGAATGTTGTCTATGCTTTTTGGCTGCACTTAGGAATGTACCCTCTGCTCCAACAAGAATTTAATGCTTTCCTGGTCCATTTAGTAATTAAAGAAGGCCTTTCCAAGTAGTACCTCCACTCCGAAGTAGCAATATGAATTTCCATCAATTCCTTCTCATAAATAGATGTGGTTTGATTTCTTTTGGATAAAGATTGACTTATATAAGCATAGGCCTTCCTTCTTGCATCAACATTGCCCTCTATTCCTTTGCCATGAGCATCTGGTTCCACCACAAAAGGATTGTCAGAAGTTCTAATACTGGGGCAAAAGTCACTGCCTCCTTAGGAGTTCCAAAATGCAACTATGGCATTCTAACACTTTAATCAACCCTTTTTAAGCATATAAGTATATGCCCTACTGGTAGCTCTATACCCCTGAATGAATTTTCTATAATAACATGTCAATCCCAAGAAGGCCGACCATGACTTAGTGTTAGTTGGTACTTGGTTGAGGCCAAGAAACCATAGCCTCAGTTTTCATGGCATTCGTACTTACTACTTGTGCTGTAATATGTGGCCCAAGTATTCTTTCCTGTCTTAACCAGCAAACAGGTCGTTGCCCTCAAAAACTTTAGCACGAGATTCAAGCATCCGAAATGAGATTCCCATGATCAATTATACCCTAGTATGTCATTGAAGAACACCAAGAACTAATCTTTGCAAATATTCCTTGAAGATGTGATTCATTAATGCTTGAAAGGTAGTCGAGGTATTAGTCAACCCAAAAGGCACGGCTTTGAACTCATAGAATCCATGGTGAGTTTTAAAGGTGTCCTTTGCCTTAACCCTGATTTGTGGTTGCCAGCCCACAGATCAATTTTAGAGAACACTATGGAACGCGAAAGGTTGTGGCTTGTTTTGAATGATAGAAGCATCCGATATTTGATTCAGCTCTTTTAATCTTTGTCTTCTGAAAATAAGGGCAGCAGGTAAGACCTTAGGTTCAGGGGAAGGCCTTCAGTCTTAAGGGGAATCACATGATCAAAGAGCCTTTGTGGAGGTAAAGCACAATGCTCTGTGAAAAAATCATCATATAACTCCAATGATGGCTACAGTTCTATGATTTCCACATTCTTTCTTCCTACTTGGTTGTTGCTGCTCTCATTTGTCAGGATATTAAGGGTAAAAAAAAAGAAAAAAATAATAAAAGGAGTGAATTAGTCTTTTAAAAGTATCAATTTGGATTATAATTAGAGTTAATATTTTGAATTTTTTTCATAGCAGCCACCGCTGCATTGATTCTCATGATAGTGGCTACTTTAATTGCTTATAGCTTATAAAAGACTCAATCTTTATGTTATAATCAATCAAGAAAAATAATAAAATTATTTATCAGGTTTCCTTCTCTGTTTCTCTTTTATTTCTCTTTTCTCTCTCTCTTTCTTTTTCAAGATTAGAAAGTCATGTCAAAGATTCTGATAAGGTGATATCAGAGCCGGAGAATCCGGAAGCGATTACCGTGAAGGAGATTGACCTGAAACTCATTGCATTCATGGAAGAATCATCGCGGCAGTTCAGCATGATCCTGAATTTGCTCCATGGCAGATCTGCTGATTGGACCGAAGAAAGTTTGGCACGCTTGGCAGAGGCATTTTCGGAATATGCGAGATCGACAGCTCAAGGGGCCACACTAGACGGACAGCCGACCTCTCTTCCGCGTGATGAAGAAGAAGAAAAGAATTGGGGTTTAGATAAAAAAATAAATCCTAAAATAAGTTCAATTATTGAATTTCGCTAATTTATCCGATTCGAACTGGTCCAGCCAACATTTTGAACTGAACCGGTTCACCTGCTCCCCTTCTCTTTTTTTATCAAGCAATAGTGGTTGGGAATGAACAACCTAGAGGTCTCTCTCTCGTTCGCCTCGGCCAACCACACTCTGCTCAGGTTTCGCTTTATTTCGCGCGAGGTCAAGATGAGAACCTGCAAGTCTCTTGTTCTCCAGATGGGTTCTGATATAAAAAAGTAGAAGCCGAAGAAGGAGAAGCGGAAGAAGGAGAGGTGGAAGAAGAAGAGGTTATTACAGCAACACAATTACAACGCCCGACAGCGGCTGCATCAGTGGTGTGGAGGGGCCAATCCGTGAAAATTAAATTTTCACAGGGCAGAAGCAGTAGAAAACTGCTTTAAAAATATATATACACACATCTATATATAATAAAAAAAAATTAATTTTATAGGGTAGAAGCAGTAGAAAACTGCTTCCGAAAAAAAAAAAAGATACATACATATATAATAATTAACATATATATATAACTTCTTTAATAGGAAAAAAAAAAACCTATTTTTAAAAATATATAATAATAATAATAATAAGTTATATTTTAATCTTGTGGACAAGGTTGATGTTGAACAAGAGGGTATTGTTAGGATATTAAAGATAAAAAAAAAAAGAGAAATAATAAAAGGGATAAATTCGTCTTTTAAAAGTATCAATTAGGGTTATAATTAGAGTTAATATTTTAAATTTACTTCATAGCAACTACCGCTGCCTTGATTCCCATGAAAGTGGCTGCTTTAATTGCTTATAATTTATAAAAGGTTCAATCTTTATGTTATAATCAATCAAGAAAAATAATAAAATTATTTCTCATATTTCCTTATCTGTTTCTCTTTTATTTCTTTTTTCTCTCTCTTTTTCTTGCTCGAGATTAGAAAGTCATATCAAAGGTTTCTGACACCATTCTATTCACTTATTGCCCCATCCTTTTCACTTTCTGGTCCATCCCATTCGCAAGGTACGTTCCATGCATTCTCATTCATATTTTCTAGTTTGCTATAGGACACATTTTGCAACCTGGTAAGGTTTCACAATCCCTCAATAGCCTAGAGGAAAATGGTGCCTATGTCAGCATCATCTCTGCATCTTCTTTCCCTTTCTCCAGTTGTTTGGTGAAGTAGGCTGGTGTTCTGGTTTTAATTTGATGGCCAAATTTGTTGTTTTGATCTGTTTGGTTTTGGTGGTATAAATTGGTTGTATTAACAGAGGTGAAACATGTGTTAGGTTGAGTAAGAGGTTGCTTCTAACAGAGGGTTTAAAAGTTCCTGGAATTCAGTTTATGGCATCAGGTCATAGCCTCTATTGCTTGTTCTTGGAGAATGGCTTGTTCAAAAGCTTGATTCAGCCTTTGGAGTTTCAGAATTTTGATAATAGGTCTTATTTATCATTTAATCCACTGATAAAACTGGATTTGAAATAGGCAGCTTGGACATATTCCTTTGGCGACGTTTTGGATTATATTGAAAGTAAGAAATAGGAAAACTTCAAAGTTACTGTTTTATCTTTTGAGTGTGTAAAGGATATGTAGTTCCAGATCCTAGGTTTCGTTATTAAGGGTTACTCTCTTTATTCTTAGAAGGATTTAGGGCACTTAAATTGATATTTTGACTGACATATAAATACTTTTGTAAATGAGATACATCTTGTTGATGCCTTTAGTGTTATACTCTTCTATTCCAAAGAAAAAAGGTTGGGTTACTCCTAGGCATAGTTGATCTAAGCACCTCAAACCTCTCTTGGTAAGCTATGATAGAAGCATCCTGGATGAGTTTGTTAAACTCTTCCATCACATCCTTTCTACACAACTCCCCAGATCTCCTGCAGAACTCCTCCGCTGAAACTTCCCAATTTCGCATCTCGTTTTGAACTTGCCATCCTTGATACCAAGTGGTAGGCTCTTGGATCTACAGAATGAATTATTTTGTTTTCCGTACATTTGGGTTTCTATTTGATGTAAATTCTCGTATCTGTCTCATTTCTCATTTCTGTTCCTTGATATCTTGTGGTTATCTTGAATTAGAGCAATTATATTGTTAATCATATTAATACTTGTTGAGATGTTCTAATGGATTCTGCTTTCATATTCAAGTCTGATAAGTTTTGACTGCATATTTTTCTGGGTTGAAGGTGAATCATGTCAGTTTGAGCACCTTTACAACTACACCAAAAATTTATCAAATTGCAGTGAGAAATAGCAAACATGTTGAGCTTTGCTTCAAGAGAAAAGCTATGCAGTCTGTTAAAGGAGATGTACTTGAGAAAGAATCAATTGATGTCAGTGACAAGCTTGGTACATCTTCTCTTCATAATATGCTTCTATACATCACTAGTAAGGTCTGGGAAGAATATGGCTAATCTGTCTTAGAGCAAAAATATATAAAATTTTGTTGGCTACACTTGGATTGTAGTTTTACGTCACACCAAATAGTGTGATGATGTGGAAAGGTTTTGATGTAAGGTGTAAGAAATTGTAGTTCGTTCATCATCATGTGTCTCTCTGGTTTTGATTATGTCTTCTACCCTGAATAAATGTTGCTTCATTTTTTATTTTCCTTAGTGTATTTAGAATTTCTTCATATTCTGTAAACTTGCACAAGAAAAACTTAGGTACCATGTATGCAAATTTCTGTAAATCTTTCCCCACATTAAGTTATTCCTGTTTGCCGATGTTTATGTAGATTATGGAGTTGTAAGTGTTCACCATGTTGGTATACTGTGTGAAAATCTTGAGAGGTCGCTTGAGTTTTATCAGAGTGTTTTAGGTATGTCACCATCTTTTCCATGCAGATGTCCTATTTTTCTTTTTATTCACAGGATAGACACCAATGTAAAGTAACTTTTTTCAATTGAAATTAGGTCTTCAGATAAATGAGGCAAGGCCACATGATAAGCTTCCCTATCGAGGTGCTTGGTTGTGGGTGGGTTCTGAGATGATTCATTTGATGGAGCTTCCAAATCCAGATCCATTAACTGGTCGACCAGAGCATGGGGGTCGAGACCGTCATACTTGTATTGCAATTCGAGATGTGTCTAAGCTGAAAACCATCCTTGATAAGGCTGGTAGATATCATTTTTTCCTCATTTACATTTGCCATCACATCTCTATATTTTTCAGATATACATAATCGGATAAGTTTATCTAGTTGCATTTAGAGTTGGATTTAAGACTATATTCTCTCCACGAAAGAACAATAGGTGAATAGATGTATGTCTGTGTTTAAATAAATGTATGTTCCCAAACAGACACTAGTTAATTACCTACAAATGTTGGATTATGCTGATTAGCAAAAAATGTGTTGGATTATTTGAAGAGGCTTTTGAAAAGTATGTTTCTAGGGAGTTATGTCAGTGTGAAGTCATATAAATTACTTACAAATCCTAATTTGCAGGTATTCCCTATACACTTAGTCGGTCTGGAAGGCCAGCAATCTTTACACGAGATCCAGATGCAAATGCTCTGGAATTTACGCAGGTGGATAACTGATATGCATCTAGAACCTCAACAATACTAGTAAATAAATGTGTATATAAACTAGAACCTGACCACTGGTTAGCCACAAGTTCTAAGAGAAAAGAATATGGCTGGTTATACATATCAAATCAGTCTGCTTGTATTCAAAAGAACAGAAACAAGGTTTCTTGATTTCCTTGGGTCCAGATGTTTTTGATAATGAAAATCTCTTTTGGTCCCAGAAATGAGGTTATTGCTTCCGAGCTTCTAAGTATAGCCGTTGTCTTCTTTTTCCCCCCAAAAACAGAAATATTGTTAGTAAGGTTATTTTTGGCTTACACTTTCATCCAACTTCTCTGTTGTAACTTTGGAATTAGTATGGATATATGATTCAAGTATAATTTTCATATCTGTTGGAAGTTAACCATTCTCCGATGTTTATATTTGATATATATCTTAATTTGATCTAGTATTCTCCAATTAAGATCATTTTGTATTATTTAGTGTCCTTGAATTTAAGCATTAGTATCATTTTGTATCTTTGAATTAAGGGTTAATTGATGTTCCTTTTTGTACATAAATTCATTCATCAATAATGAAAACTTAGAATTTTGGGGCCTCATTTATCTTTTTCTGTGTTATTAGAGCAGTTGGAATCATAGAGTGTTTTTCTTCATGGCGGAAGAGCATCCTATTGAGTTCCAATACTTCCAAATAAAACAAAAACAATAACCAATCAAATACAACCCATGTTTAAAGATGTCAACATGATGAATTTTACTAAACCGAACTTGACCTGCATCTACGAGAGCAACTTTGGATTCGCTCTAAATCCTAGGCCAGTGAATTGTTTTTAATTTTTTGTTAAGTTTGCGAGTTATCCAAGCTGAACCAAACTTGATAATTTTTTTGTATTAATATTTATTTTTTAAAAATATATTTAGTAAAGTATATAATATGTACTTTTATATCTATCTATATAAATATTTTTTATAATATAAAAAATATGTATATGTATATATACATTGTGGGTGAGATTGGAACAAGTTTTAGAGGACCAAATCCAGATACTCCTTGCCCTGCTCCTGTTTTCCCACCAATTCTAATTAAGTTCGACTAGAATTCTTATTTTAATTAAAAAAAAATTATATTAAATCGGATTCAAATGAGTCAAATTAAATGGATTCGAGTGTATAATGTCATCTTGACCCATGTTAATTTTGATTTTTTATCATGTTTACTCTTCATGCCTCAAATGATCAAGATAGAATATTAATAATACGTCTCATCAAAAAAGAGAATTATCCTACCTAGAATCATGCCACAACAAATGCACTTTAAGGAACAGTAAATTTGATTTCGTGGATGGATCTATTAGATGTCCATCACTTAGTTCACTAAAAGAATCTGCATGAATCAATTGTAATTTAATATAGATCTCTTAGATTTTTTATTCCTTCATCTTATCCTTCATGATAGCATAATATATCTTATGACAATACACGACATGTGGAATTATCTTGAAGAATGATTTCTACAAGGTCCCACTCTAAATGCATTTATCCATTAAGAAAATTGAGATGACAAGTACCTTATAACAGAATATGACTACTTCAGTACACTACACTGAATTAAAAGAAATTTGGGATGAACTCATCATCTATTCACAAATTTGTTATACTTATGGCTCGGCAGAGGCATTTCCTGCAAAAAGAAAAAAAAAAAAGAAGTATAACAATTTCTTATGAGCTTCAATGAAACATATAACATAATGCACTTTCAAGTCTTAAGTACAAATCCATGCTTGTGCACTTGTAGCACAAGAAGAGCATAAAAAACTAGTGATAATATCATAATTACCATCTATTAAGGCAGTAAAGTTCATCACTAATGACATCAACAAAACTATATCATCATAACCCCACAAAGATCAATAATCTTTCCAAGCTATTTTGTTCACACTATAAGACGATTAGACACACCAAAGACAATTTTTTTGAGTTACATTATCGTTTAGAGTGGTGAGACAAAGGGAATAAGTCATCTAAACTTTAGAATGGCTAATAACTCACAAGTTGGAGACTGCTAATGATAACAACACTATAATATTTAATTGGTTGACAAATGAGCAATACACTCAACTTATATTTATACTTAATCTTGAAAAGAATAATGATTGCACATTCTCCTGCAATCTCATGTTTCTATTCTGATACAAAATTATTTGCAATGCAAAATTAACCAATGTGATAAAAAATCTCAATGTACAAATTAGCGCAAAAATTTAATCGCTAAATAAATCATCTTTACTTAACCCCCCAATCAACCCGTTATTAAGAATTAAGATAATTGGGAGAAAGAATAATAATTAATAAAGCGTCACAAAAGTTACCTTGACAAGTATAATCAATTCTTCACTAAAAAAAAGTTGAAAAAACCTCTCAAGTGCACTCAAAAAAGTCG